CTTTCTCTCCTATTTTTGGTGCTGTCGGAAACTGGGTTGTAGAAATTCTCTAATGGATTGAGTGGATTAGACCTCTTTGTTAGATTCCAAATTCGGTTCCAGTCTTCTTCTATTGTTACCTTGATGTGGTTTATCAAGTCTCGATGGAGGATCGGTACCAGTGGATCGGATGGAACCGCTGAAGAGTTAGCGTCTTCTTTAACAGCGATGCTTGCTAGCTCATTTCCAGGGTTTCCTTAATGGTATGGGATCCCGATGAATGTTATATTTTTGCTATTGTTAATTCTCCTGAATTCGCTAAATAATTTCGTGCTTGTTGTTTTTTAATGTAGCTGTATAGGCCTTCATTACACTCATATAATCTGAGAAGATGGCTACGTTGGGTGAACTATTTGTGCTGGCAGCTTTTAATACATGTAAAATAACATATGCTTCGCCAGTAAATATTTACTCACTTTTCAGAAGTTTCACTTTGATTCTCTGATTTTTTGTAATTACTGCAAAGTCTATTCCTGGTTCTGTTTTCGATGCATCTGTATATATTTTTAAATATATCATGCATCTATCATTTACTTTTAGAAATTTTGATACATATTCTAGTCTATTTGCTTGTTTTTTTAGAGTGGCCAACCAGGTTAGTGTTGATTAAGGGTATTTAAATTAGCCAGGAGTGATATGTACTTTCGCGCCGTGCATTGACCAAACTATCCGTACGAACTTATTATAGTTCTTTTAGGGTTATGGGGCTCAATTAACCGCCGCGGTACGCGTGTTGTTTGGCACGTCACTAACCAAATTAATCTTGAGTGACTAGCTCAAATGTTGTGATCGAAACGATGTCACCGACTCTAGATTGTAACCGAAACGTTATTACTAATCGAACGATTATGTAATAACGACCGAACGATTGTCGCTTTTCGGAACGTTATGGAGGAGTTGTGACCGAACGTTGTCGCTGGCACGAGACAAGTGTCTAAGGTTCCGGAGTTTGTTTCCTCCTCAGCCCTGACCCCCTCCGATACGCGAAATCGGAGGTGTTAACCGAGTCGCGCGTTATCTTTTGGCTGTATCGATTGACCATCGACTTGGGGAAGAAGGACATATTTTCCTGCCCCGTTTGAGCGAAAAACTCCTCCCTTACATTCGAACGTTGGTGGAGGAAGGTCCTAGATTAATTTACAGATAATTTGTAGCTGTTTCGTGGCTACATTGTTCCGCGAGTCGGCAATGGTCATTGTCATCGGTGTCTATGTTTGGCTTCGAAGACCGTACCACCCACAAAGCATTCTAGCCCCTTGCTGGTCAATCCGGACGTAGCGCTTTCGCTTCGACAAAGCGCTATTTCTTTTACTACGAAAGCCAGATGAGGAATATTCGAGGATTTTTGCGGCGAAGTAACGCTTTCGCATCTGGCTAAACAAAGGAGCGTAGAAACCTGAGCTGACCGAACAGAATAAGGGGGCTACTTTACTATAATTACATTCTATCGTTGGTGACATTTGAGGGTTATCCAAATTGAATGTCACATCTTTAAATTGAAATAAAACACAAACTATCTGAGATATTTCAGGTTTCTTTATTTTAATATAAAGTCCACTTCATAGCATTAATCGTGGAACACGATGTCATTCGAATTTACCGCCTTGGCATTTTTTTACAACCCCGACTCGTTTTACCCAGTTTTCTATTACACTGTTACATCATTGGGATTCTACTTCATTAATGACGACTATAATATTGTTTTCTAGCTCGTAAATCGTTTGTGGTTTATTCACGTAAATTATACTTTTAAAAAACCCCATAAGAAAAAATGACAAATGGAGTTAGATCGCATGGTCTTGGGAGCCAGTTGGTGTCTCCTCCTTGTGAAATCAGGCGTCGAAAACAAGCTCGAACGGAACTTGAATGTTTCTAATACCTTTCAACAATTTGTACACGTTGTTGCACAGTGTAGCGTTTCATGATAATTTGATTATGTTTAGTGAATCAAACCTTTTAGCAGTCTCGTCTGTTGAAAGATGCGACACTCAATTTGGATAACCCTATATTAAGGGAGGTTGTAGCCACTAGTGATTCTTGCATACATGAGGGTTGGTAGGTCAAATCTTTTGGTGTATAATTCTCTGTATCTATTTGCGAATACATAACTGTACGTGAGGATTTGAGATCTTGAAGAAACTGTTAAGGCATATTTGATACTTAGGACTTTTCTTTTTTGCTCCAGTGACATCTCTTTGGTCTCATATAGGATGCTGTTTATCGGACCCGTAGAATGTGCATTCGTAGCCATCCTCAAGGCTGAATTTTGCATATCGTTTAATGACTTCAGGATATATGGTTTGGCAGATTCATATATTATTGATGCATAATCAATTTTTGACTGGATTAGTACTTTATAAATTTTTATGAGAGTTTCCGGGTTTGCTCCCCAGTTACTATTGACCAGTATTTAACCATTTAGTGCATGCTTCTGTCGTGTAATTGATGTGAGCCGTCCATATTAATTTATCATCCAAAATGAGACCAAATATCTTAACGTTTGTAGGAGGCTAACGGGCCTCTTTAGCCTGGAGAGGACAGGGTACAGGGAAAACCCGTGTACCCATGACATAGGCCGCTTTGTTCCTTACAGGGAAAGGGAAAGCGGCAAAGGGATGGCAAGGCCAAGCAGGTCAGGTCATCGGACAGTTACAGCAAAGACTTTGACGAGGATTGTCACGTACACCCGCGCGCGCCCGATTAATATATATCATTTATTTAAAATATATCATCGTTATTAAGAGTGGGAGGTGTTTATTTCGGACTCCTGACAACGTCCTGTTTCCCTCTATATCCTCCCACACGTTGTTTATGTATTTTATTGTACATGGGAGTTCCCTAGGTACAGCTTTGGTTCACCCTCCCGTTTGGTTGTCCAGGCGGCAGGGGAGATGAACCCCTACGTGACGCGTCCTCAGGTGGCGGATAGGGGCAGCCGCTGGGATGGGATGCGGGGATGAGGTCATCAACCTGAGAAGGCTGGTGGCCTCATCCCAGCATGGCATCCCGGAGGTCGGAGCGGAAGCTCCCGCGGGCCGAACACCCGTATGAATGTGTTGCGCGTATGAATGCGAGTGTGAGTGGACTGGGGCACGGGATATTTGCCGCGGGGTTTACCTAAGGCCGCAGGTTGGCCAGTTGGCTGCGGGTGAGTCCTGCGGCCAACGTGGCCACGCGGCCGGCGGCTTAGTCCCATGTCACTATGAATGCGGTGGAATACGGTGGAAGGGGTGCCTCTCACCGGGAGGGGCCTGAAAAGGCGCGGCAGGGGACTCTGTGATGGCTCACTAGAGTTCCCGGCCCCTCGCCAGGCGTCTGAGGATGGCCACTGTGGGGTTTTAGCCGGTAAAAGTCCGGCACTACCCGCCGGCTCTCCCTTGGGGTGGGCCCACGGGTGTCCATAAGGATTTCCCCACGTACAAAAAAAAAAGATAGTTATTAGTAGACTGTGGATCTTTATGCAAATTCACATTTTTATTAATAGAATTAATGAAACGGAAGCTTCGCAGAGGGCTGTCTCAACCCCTAAATATAATTATTCGTATCTTACTTTAAGTATTTCTTATATTTTTGCATATTAAATGCATTCTGTAATTTTTTGAGGATTAAAATTCCCCATAAATGCATAAACATCCGCAGTCTAGTTATTAGATCACAAAAATTATGTCTTTTTTTTTATGTTTTTTTTATTTAATGGGTTTTTTACGCCGCATCCACTGCGAAGTTATTAACGGTGTCGGTGGGATGGTTTTTTTCTTATATTTTGTCAATTAATTTTGTTTCTTTGATGAATCCCAGTAGGTTGTGTAGCTTTTTGATGAGGTTTTCTTTAAGTTGTGATTCCAGCTTGTGTTTACGACGAAGAGTGTTGTATTTTGGGCAGTCAAGGATTAGGTGGTCCGTTGTAATTGTTGTGTTACAGTGTTTGCATATGGGGATGGGTTCTTTTGATAATAAGTATGAGTGGGAGATTTTGGAGTGTCCAATTCTTATCTGGGTTATAGCAGTTTGCTCTTTTCTAGTTGAAGTAATTGCTTTGTTTTCTGTAAAAAAGGAGTCATCTATATTTTTGATGTGTGATGGTGCTGTATTTTTCCACTCAGATTCCCACTGGCATTTTAGCTTCTGAGTGTTTTGTTAACTATGTTTTCTAAAAGTTTACACATGGTATTCGTCAAAGCTATCGACCGATAACTATCTGATTTGTGTTTACTTTTATTAGCTTTAGGGATTGTAACAACTACTGTATTTCTTCAGCCATTGGGAAAGACCCCGTGTGTTCAGATACAGTTATGGATTTCGAGAAGGTGGTTTATCCGGATTTAGGGAGTTGTTTCATTAGCATGTTTGGGATGTCATCCAGGCCCGGTGCGAAGTTTTGGATAGCTAGCAGTGTATTTTCGATTTTCTCTGCCGTTATTATACTATTTAATTTAGGGACTGCGTTATCATAGTCTAAGTCCAGATTTACTATTTCGGATGATATATCATAAAGATCACAAATATTAGATGAACTAAATTTTGTAAAGCCTAGATCTTAGAGTTTATAAGTTACTCATTTACAAATACGTTAATATTTAAAAGATAGATTAAAAAATTAACATATAAACTAGAAATTAAAATTGATCTTAGAAATGTAAAATACCTGGTATAGAAATGAAAATAAATATAAACGTTGCTTGCATATAATTGCAGAAATATTATAATACAGTAAATACGTGTAAATTTAATTTTTATCTTTCAGAAATGCATAAAATCTAGATAACTGATATAAAATTAGCCAAAGTAATATAGTGTAGGTATTAACTTAGTGACCTTGAACCAATTTAATTTTGTATTTAAGTGCTAATGATACATTTATATTCTTTATGAATTCAAATAATTTGCAATATACTTTATTATACGAGCTTGATCTCTGTCCGTCTTATCAAAAACTTCTAATTACTGCTACAATAACTTACCAGAATGGTCGTCACGATGAAAGTCTTATTCTGAAGATTCTCGACGATCTGAATATATTCCTCTTTGTAACTTCTAGTGAAGTTTATACCCTTTGTGCTGTTCCAGGTTCCTATTTTTTTCAAACCGTCTTTGTTATTAAGTTCGATGATATCCAAAATGAAGTCCGAGCGGAATCCTTGATGATCGAACTTAATGATTCCGGTCAACCCCGTCATCTCGACCTGAGAACAAACATCGAACGGCGTTCACTTATTGGAAATTTTTTAAATCAAAAACGTCGCAAGAATATCGTCTATAAAGACATCTACGAGGGTAGTCTCAGAAATATCCGACCTAACAAAAAAAACACAAGAAATTTGGGAACAAATACCTTTATTTTCTACATAATTTCCTTTTAGCTGAGTACTCGATACCCTATTTATAGTGAGAACCATCGAGGTCCTCAAAATAGCCATTAACAACAGACTCCATCTCTTCATTATTAAAAAATCTTTTACCACCGAGCCATTTTTTCAAGTTTGGAAAGAGAAAATAATCCGAGGGGCTAAATTTGGCGAATAAGATGCGCGAGGGAGCAATTCGAATTTTAACTCCTGGATTTTGGCAATCGCGATAACGGATGTGTGAACTGATGCATTGTCTTGGTAAAACAACACTTTTTTCGCCAAATGCGGCCGTTTTTCCTTGATTTTGTCACTCAAACGTTGCATTAAACTCGCATAATACTCGCCGTTGATTGTTTTTCCTTTTTCAAGATAATCAATAAAAATTATTCCACTCGCATCCCAAAAAGTGACGCCATGACCTTGCCAGCAGATGGAACTGTCTTCGCCTTCTTTGGAGCTGGTTCTCCCCTTACAGTCCATTATAAACACGCATGGTAAGTGACTCACAAAAGTATTCGAACGCTACATGTATTATTAAATTATTTAATATTAATATTTTGTTGGACCATCTTTAGCAGTTATAATGTCTCTTAGCCGACGTTCCATACTATAAACCAATGATTTTGTAAAACTACACTCAATGGAGTTCCATATTTCTATAATTTTATTTTTCAATTGGATTTATGTCTGAACTTTGCGGTGGAGTAATTAACATGTGTGGTGTATTATATACGATCCACTCTTTTACAATTTTAGCAGTATGTTTCGGATCATTATCTTGTTGGTAGTGGAAATCTTCCAATAATCCTAGTTTACTGGCACTTTCTTTAAGATTATTCTTTAAAATATTTAAATACTTATATTTATAAAGTATTCCGTCAATAAATATTAAATTTCCGGTGCCACTGGCAACCATACACTCCCATACCATGACCGATCAACCTCTGTGTTTCATTGTTTGATGTAAATGTCGAATTTCCAATTCTGTATTTGGTTTTCTCCACACATAATTTTGACCATCTGAGCCAAAAATATTAAACTTTGACTCGTCCGTAAAGATAACTTTATCCCAAAAAGAATTATCTTTATTAATGTAGGTTTTCGCAAAAGTCAATCTTTTTTTACGATTTACTGCATTAATATATGGCTTCTTTCGCGGTACTCGGCCATGAAAATCATTGTTTCGTAAGATTCGTCGATATAATTCCGGGTGAACTTCTTTATGAAACATATCAGCTACCATATTTGCGAGTTGAGGAGCGGATGTAGTAGGATTCTTTTTTAATTCGCGAATGATATCTTTCTCCTCTCTTCCAGTCAATTTCTTTGGTCGACCTGATCGAGCTTTGTTTGCAAGTGTTCTCTCATTCTTTGACTTTTTTATGATGTAATGTATTGTAGACTTACTTCTGTTCACAATCCCGGTAATCTCGTTATACGATTTGCCGTCCTCATGCAATCGTAATATTATTTCTCGTTCACACTTTTTGGTTTCAGACTTTTTGGTGTTCATTTTAAATACTATTGTGCACACTTTTACGTTACTGTTACTGAAACGATATCCTAACATCAAGTGAACGTACCAATATTTTCATTTAGCAATGATGTTTACATTCGGTGCAAAGGAAGATGAAAAACTATCAACAGTGTTACAGAGTTCGAATACTTTTGTGAGTCGTTTACCATGCCTGTTTCTAATAAATGTATCACAACTTCTCTTTACGTTGTTGAATCCTTTTCAAATTTTACTGGCATAATCTTGAGACTTCCATCTTCCTATTGACATCTACTTGTTTCAGCAAATTGCTTTAATGTACATTATTTCGGCCATTTAAGTTTGCATATGTGAGCGTTCGAATACTTTCGTGAGCCACTGTATTTTCCACTAAAATTAATAAGAGTTAGGAATGGCTAACATTGGAATATCTATGTTTTCCAGAACAAAGGTTACTAATTTGTTGCTGTTTGCACTGTATGCAAAGCTCCTTTCATTCGTTCTGAGTAACTGATAGTTCACTAAATACTTCGGTAGAGTAAAGTAGTAGACCAATCATCCCTCGTACGTATATTGCTAGTGAATATGCCGATATGGTGTATGGATTTTGCGAGGGAAATGCTAACGCTGCTGTCGTGAAGACGCTGTGTGATTTCCAAGGAGAAGACTACCAGATAAAGAAGTATTTTCTTTAGCAATTCACAGATTCAAGTTACTCAGTTACCCAAAATGAATGAAAGGAGCCTTAACTATTAATTTTGCTTACATACAGCAACAAATTAGTAATCTTCGCTCTGTGAATGTTATCCATTCCTAACTCTTATTAATTTTAGAGGAAAAATTTGTTTGTTTTACCATCTTAAATTCATTCACCATCTAAAGTTTGTAGACTTAACCCGAGAACACCCTGCAGATAGTCATCTTCTACTTGATTATGGCGCTCGTATCTCTGCGAACAGAAGCCGGTGCCACGGTTTATCGGGGAACGTTTTGTGCGAGGAAGGGGGCAGGGGAATTAATTTTGCGGAGTTACGGACATCGATCAGTCGTCGTGGCAACGTAATATGCCATTATAACGATATGCTTAATCTGACGGTCTTGCTCCCCCCTCCCGCGGTGCTTATTAACGAGCACCACGAACACTGTCATGTGCAACTGCGTCGTGCACATCACAGAAACAGAGACGAACAACGCAGTAAACTGTGCCCTGAATCGGCACAGAAGGTGGTTGAGTCCTACCTACGTTTCGCGATTGTTCTGCCAAACAATGGAAAGTTACTCCCGGGTTAAACGAAGCCGTCGGTCCCGTTGACAAATTATAGCTCGCGGTTTTGCGACCGTGAATCCTGGCTGACGCCTGCCGTCGTCAGGGAACAACCGGATGAGACCGAAATCGACCATACGACGATGCAACCTGCACAGTTCAATTACGGAACTCCGCTCGAGGGAGAATGAATTCGAGTTACAGTACATAATTCCTATATACTTAGAAGGAACCTTCGCGAACGGTCAGGCTTCGATTTTGATGAAACTTTGTACACTTATACAGCAGCCAAAAATAATCCATAAGTAATTTTTTTTTAACCGCGGTAACTCGAGTTCAAGGGGTGAAACCACCTCTTGAAGTTTTGGCTCGAAATGGCTATCTCAAAAACAGAAAGACATACGAAGAAATTGTTAATTGGCGAGGTTAGTGGTTTCTTATGTACAATAACATGGTGTTAAAAAATTTAACAAAATACAATTTGTTTGTAACAAAAAAATTTATTAACATAATTTTTCATTTTATTGAAATTTTCATAATGACAAAAAATGACGAGCATTTTATTCCAAATTCATTGATATGTAATATTTTAAAATTGGCTCTTACGGTTTTGCAGATTTTAATGATTTACATCTTGCGCGCACATCCACTATGGCAGTAGCCATTCTAACTTTGATTTTAATGAAGCATTGTAGGCTTGCTCTAAATTATACAGTAACAAGTAACAAGTAACAATAACAGTAACAAGTTTCTTAACAGCAATGAAAAGATTAATTGTTTTTATTGCCCACCTATGACATCGTGGCAAAGAAGGAGCGATTTATAAATTATAAATACATACAGTGTGTATAGCAATTATTCTATGTAGTTTCGACAATAGTTGTACTCGTCGAAAAAATGTTTGAAACTTTTAGAGTTAAAACGATAAGGTATATTAATGGCAGAATAGTCTATAAAAGAACAAATTACATGTAATAGAAACCGTCAAGGAAGAATCAATAAAGTCAGACAATCTCCTATCGTCGTTACAGGAGACGAGAAAACATTTTCGTTACTAACGAAATGACTTCACTCCATATAATTAGGCGGCACGGATTATAAATTTGTTTCCTAACAGAAACATAAATATATCTTACACCATGCACATTTAATTATTGCCACGTCACCGCAAATATGGCATCTTGGTTCATTTTCAACAGAATAGCAGTACTCAACAAGATTCTGGAATGCACTATACAGAGTGTTCGACCACCCCTGGGAAAAATTGTAATGGGATATTCTAGAGACCAAAATAGGACGAAAATCGAGAATACCAATTTGTTGATCGAGGCTTCGTTAAAAAGTTATTAACGTTTAAAATTTCGCCCGTACTGAATTTTTAATTGAATTTAATTGATCTCCGTAACCGAATACAATTATTAGAACGATTTGAAATTTTTTATTTCGTCGACAAATTTAGGCATCTACTCCCTATCGATTTTTCTTAAAAATTCGTTTTCGACTTTTAATAATTTTGTTCGACGCCCTACAGAAAAGTTGTTTAATAAGTTTTTATAGGTACTCGTGAGTTCTAGTCCAGAAAGAAGTTTTATGTAAATATATTCACTATTGTAAGAGTTATGGTCGTTTGAAAATTGAACCATTTTTTGGGATTTTACTCATTTTACAGGATTATGGAACAATTGTATATTTTTGGAATTTCTAAATATTCTTCATTAAAATACGCGTTGTTTGCCGTTTGAAACATTAAAATCCTCCGATCCGTTCAGAAGTTATGAAGTTTTAAAGATATGCATCGGTGAACCATTTCCGACCTCACATTAGATTATCGGTGAGGAATTTTTTTTTCGAAAATGCGTAGGATTTCGGGGAAATGTGTAATGACCAAAAATGATTGTAATCGACTCCTGCAACCGAAAATAATTTTTTCAGAATGGTTTGAAATTTTTTAACTTAATTTTTTAATAACTTTTTAACGAAACCTTAGTCAAAAAATTGATATACTTGTTTTTTGGCTTATTTTGGTCTCTAGAAATATATATATGTGTATATATACAGGTTGATTGGCTACCCTTGGGAAAAATTTTAATGTGATATATGTATACATATGTATATATGTACATATACGTCCTTAACGTTATTATTGATGGAACAGAAAAATCTGATGCGGATTTCGAATGTTCGGTGTGCAATGGTACAATGATATTTTTTATAGCACGACAATAGTTTCAGTCGAATCAGAAGCCGCGGAGACCAACGTTGTCTTCAATTTTGCTAATTACGATGCGTAATCGAGAACAGGACCGTTTCTGAACGGAGAACATAGCCCGCGTAATTTGTCCCCGAAAACTCGGTCGACGTATCAAAGCTGACCTGGTAATTATGCCGGTAATGGGTCCACTCGCCAATTTTCCTACGGCTGCACGACGCGCGGCAGTACGAATTTATCGCGGTCTCGGGTCACAGCATGATCGGTGTCCGGTTACACAATTCACACTCGGGATCAGCGAAACGGGCGACGGTGGAAATATTTTTACGCTTGACGACTGTGAAATTTCCATTCGTGGATTACGCACGGGCTGGATAATCGCGACTGCGTGACGGAAGAAAAAAATAAAAAATATAAATGCGTCCGATCAATCCACTCGTTGAATTCGGCTGGACGTTTAATCGCTCGTTGTTCGCAACTCATTGATTAGAACTAGTCGTCGAGAGTATCCAGTGTAATTACGTCGAACACGCTGCACTGTACCGCAAATACGCAGTTCATATAGCAACCATGCGTTGTTTCGGACAGGATCAGCGACGGGTTTCAAATTACCATCGTGTGTAAATATTGAATTCTGCTCGAGGGTACTTATACAGAACAGTGCAATTTAAGGGGGCACTCTAGTGTGAACCTTTGAAAAAATCCATTTCTTTTTTTTTGTATTTTTTTAAAGAATTTAATTTGAAAAATATATCTGCAAAATCTTATGCCTGAACTCCTAAAATTACCGAAGTTATGGCTGTTTAAAGGACATGACGGTCAACACCATTATTATAGGGATACAAAACTTTAAAAGCGTTTTTCTCGAAAGCACTTATCCTCTTTGTTGTGCGGCCACAGGTCACCAGGACAATACCCGAGGCTCGAAATGGGCCTCAAGCGGCGCGTCGGCAGTCACCCGACAAGCAGGGGTGACGAGCGCCGCTAATTGGAGAACGAGAAAGCGGAGAGTGCAGAAGGGCCGGCAAAAATCAAAGGCTGGCGACCCTCCTCCCCTCTTCTTCTTCTGTAGCCCAAGGTGTGAAGAAAAAGAATAGGCCGGAGCTCAGGGCGGCGGTGGGTCCCTCAAAAGGCCTGCGTGCCGGCACAAAACAACAACATCGTTCCCATCCTTTTCCCTCTCCTTCAACCTCCCCACCCACTATCACACCTCCGGCTAGGGCGAAGAATGCGGCCGGGTCGGTATCTGAAACGTGGGCGGACGCGGTGAGGCACGACCGGGCTACTCAAAAGCCCGGTGTCAGCCCACCCCGAACCCCATCCAGAACAAAATGCCGAAAAGCCTAAAGGGCAGACGCCGAGCAGGAGTGTCCTCCCTCGGAGCACGACCTCCGGCTGGTGAATCGGGGCTCCGAAGCCACGTTCGTAGGGCCGCAGGCAACGTCAATCATCGATTTGACGTGGGCAACCCCTGCGGCCCTGCGACTCGTGTCGGGGTGGCGAGTGGCCGTAGAGATGGCCACATTCAGTGATCACCTCTACATCATCATGTCCGTGAGAGCCACACCGGCGCGTAGGGAGCCCCTGGGCCGGAGGCGTGTGGCAGATGCTGCAGCCCCTCCTCCCCCGCGATGGTCCCACAAGAGAGTAGACTGGAAGATGGTGGAGGCAACCTGGTCCGAGCCAGAGGGCGGAACCGCCGATGACGTGGAGCAGAAGGTCGAATGGTTTCGGGGCAAACTTTGGTACGCGGTATTCCGCAGGGGTCAGTTCTGGGGCCACTGCTATGGAACATCGGGTACGACTCGGTACTGCGGGCTCCTCTGCCCGCTGACGCAGCGCTGACGTGTTATGCTGATGACGCGCTGGTGCTCGTCAGCGGGACAGACTGGATAGGAACAGCGCGCGCCGCGGAGATGGCGACGGCCATCGTCATTTGTCAAAATCTGTAGGCTGGGCCTAGAGGTGGCACCCCAAAAAACGGAGGTCGTGTTCTTTCAAAGACTCGGCCCCTGTGGGGTGCCACCAGCCGGTCTGCAGATCCGAGTTGGGACAGCCTATGTCGAGGTTAAAACCCAGATGAAGTATCTGGGCCTGACACTCGACAGCCCGTGGCGTTTCGTCGACCATTTCGACCTCTTGGAACCTTGGGTGGAGAAAGCGGCTGCTGCTTTAGGCCGCTTTTTTTCCGAATATCGGGGGGCCCGATGTTGGAGTCCGCCGTCTCTACGTGAAGGTGGTGCGTTCAATTGCCCTCAACGGAGCCCCAGTTTGGGCTTCAGACTTGGATGCCAGCCGGCGCAGCACGGAGATGCTGCGTCACGTCTACCGTCGGCTGGCCATGATTAGAGGGTATCGCACCATCTCCCACGAGGCGGCGATTACTCTGGCGTGTCTCCCGCCCCAGGAGCTCCTAGCTTGGAGAAATCGGCAAGTTTACTGGCACTCCAGGGGGCTCCAGGAGGCTGGAAGACCGCCAGAGGAGAGGAGGCAAGCGGTTGAAGCAACGAGGCGCCATGCCCATGATCGTTTTGTTCGTGTGGTTCCAACAACTAATTCAAGTTGGCGGAGCCATACAACGGTCCGCCAGTGCAGTCCTACCGCATTGGCAAGAGTGGCAGGACAAACCGAGTAGGCTGTCCTACAGGATGACACAGGTGCTCACTGGGCATGGATGCTTTGATGAGTACCTGTGTCAAATTGGGAAGGAGGCGACAACGGTCTGTCACCATTGTGGTGATACCCACAGGACACGGCGCAGCACCCGCTGGAAGCCTGCCCAGCGTGGGCAGATGAACGGCGTGTCTTGGAGCAGGGAGTTGGTCGGAACCTCTCGCTGGCCACCATAGTGGGTAAGATGGTGGTCAGCGAGAGGACATGGCAAGTGGTAGCCTCCTTCTGCGAGCTAGTCATGTCTCATGATCTCGCTCGAAGAGGAAGGGCTCCGAGGGAGCCCAGGGCGAGGCGACCTTCGCCTTCAGGCTCCCTGCCATAGCCTTAAGATCCACGTGTCTTCCACCCTTTCCCCTTCCTTAATCCTCCCCCTCCCCCCTTTTCTATACTTGGAGGACCTCCAAGACGTGTGGCGGCCCGTCAGCGCTCTCCTTCGGCCACCACATCGGTGGCTGGAAGAATGACGGGCCGACCCTGTGGCTACAGGTGCTCAGTGCAAGGGGGCAGAACACCGAAGGCAGTTCCAGGGTCGCGGGCGTTGGGTGACCTGGCATCCGTGGCGGAGAAATCAGTGGGGGAAGGACACGTTCGTCCTTGTTAGCTTAACTCTTCGTTTTAACTATTACTATTTGACGACTGTTATTCGTTCACTCACTATAGGCCTCTGTATTTCTAAACACACGCGATACAATACTGAACACGTCTCGCCAGCACAACGGTCGGTAGACGACTGACAATTAATATTAATTTAATTGTAATTAGATGTAAGAATATGTAGAGTTTAATATCTATAAAGTACTTAATGAAAGAATGTTTGTATGTTCGTAAATGCTTTGTTCAAGAGATATTGACGTCCAAAGTTACAAAACTATAGGAAATAGGCTTATTCTCTGTATTAGTTTAGAAAGATGAAAATGTGATTATTAAATATTTGATACAAAATAATGTCATTCGACCCAGAGAGAAGTATTACACTTATTCACGAGGGAACAAATGGCTGATCGACATTATATGTTTGTAATTTCTTTGCACGCTTGTACTGTTCTCTATTTTAATGTTTAACGGTCGACATTCACGTGTATATACCATATTAAACCATTATACCATAATTGTTAATGGGATACGTTCGAGGCATGATTATAACTGATTTATTCTACAGCTTCTGGCTATCAAATTAAGACCATGAACAAGCATTTCATTTCTCTAACTACAATGCTATGTTATAAATGGCAAATTGTCCATGTCTATATGAATTATTAATAAATATGTACATGATTATTACAATTAATCTATTACTATTATGTAAATGATCAAATTCATCGGATTGTGGATCAAATAAATATTTCATTTATGCTAAAGTATTAGTAGCGAATAAGAAGGGATTTGAAAAGATTTACCCCGCATAACTATACGTATGAAAATTAACCATGCTTTCGTAGTTATCCAGGATTTGCTGTGTATAGAATTTGAATACTCACGATTTTCATATAGTTTATGAGGGAATATCCATGAGGCCAAGTATCGGTGGATTCGCAGGAAAGCGGCTTGATGTCTATCTGTTGCGACGTGTCCAGATCGTGCAGAGCTTTCGCGAATAGGTGCACTGCGTCGTACATCAGCGAGGTTTCAGTCTGAAACGATACGAAATAAAGAAGCGAAACAGTTTCCAACGATATGCAAACACATGCCCGATACAAATTTGTGACAAATTTCGTGCCAACGATCCGCGGCGATGTAAATCAGATCACGGTTCGCGTTTAAACGAATCAATCCTGGAGAAAACTCGCCGTTTTACCACGCTTGGAATCGCCATTTATGAGGGGGTCGATCAGACGGAATGCCAACCCGTAAAAGGGAATCGTATCGCACGGCCTGATCGAACGATTTCTTTTCCTCCGACCAAACGAATTTCGACTGTCGAAAGGAGCAAAGCGTTGCACGCGCGCCCCTCCACAGTTTCATGGCAAATTGGTACTTCCTGTTACCAAGGCAACATACAGTTTGTCACATAATAGCGTACTCGCTATGATTACAAAATACAATATACAGGGTGTTCGGCCATCCTTGGGAAAAATTTTAATGGGAGATTCTAGAGGTCAAAATAAGACGAAATTCAAAAATGCCAATTTGTTGATGGAGACTTCGTTAAAAAGTTATTAACGTTTAAAGTGCCGCCTGTAGAACGGCAATCTGCGTACAGCCGCGTATATGCGATAGTGGTTCTCACTCAGCATGAGACACTCTACTTATTGACTCATCGACAGCCTTACAATTTTCTGAGTGAGAACCACTATCGCGTTTACGCAGCTGTTCGCAGATTGCCGTTCTACAGGCGGAACTTTAAATTGGCATTCTTGATTTTCGTCTTATTTTTACCTCAAGAATCTCCCATTAAAATTTTTCCCAGGGGTGGCCGAACACCCTGTATACGAGTCGGTCTCTCTCTTTCTCACTCATTTTAGTACTCTCTCGTTTCTTAATTCATACTGACCGTTACATACATTGTTCAGTCGCTCACTGCCTATAAACCATACACACATATTACCTGGGCACACTTTGTCTCGCTTACTTTCAAACATGAACATTAGGCCACAACACACATTGTTTTTCCATTCGCTCTCGTCACACTCATCCTTCCATACAAATAACGTTCACCTTCATATCTTTTCAACACATACAATCTATGACAACCATATTACCGTACTTTCAATTTATTTAGTCACGTAGAATTCCCCGTTTCTTGGTTGAATTATGATCGTACTCTGTACATATCAGGCATGTTAAACTTAATTTAGTTCGAGGGCCAGTTTGCGAAATTATAAGTAGTGACACCATCGCTAAAATTAAAACTTATTTCTCAGTCATTAGAGAAAATACGAAAAAATACAGGCTTTAGTCAATTTCCTTGTTTGTACTTACAAATTTTCGACAAGAATAATTATACTATTTAAGAAATAGTGATTAAGTACGTGATTTTTGTAGTTATAATATCACCATTTGTAATTTTCCAAAAACTTCATTTACATTTTGTTCTTTATACAAGATCGAGTAATTATCTTTGCAGCTTCTAAATTTGAATGATGATTTCAATCTCTAAAATTAATTCCTGCTATCAAACAAAAATTATATCGAACATTGTCAATAACTTTGCTTGTGTGCTAAATTTGGCCAAAATTGATGTCTAACAATTGAATCGTGTTTGACATACGTATTAAACGAATGAACTGCATTGAAATCAAGAGCATATTAGATATGTAAGACAATTAATATGTATGTAAGTCATATTCTATTATCAATAAATTTATGAAATACACTCACTGGAAATAAAACAACATATTATTTCAAATATATTCGTTAAAGAAACTCGTATCTATGTATTTGACATATGCTCCAAAGTTTTAATGCAGTTAATCCACGTTTCAGAAAAGTTATTTCTCTTTCTAAAATGAACTATTCTTATTTATTTGGAATTACTGTAAATACTGATTGTAATGTTAAATTCAATGATATTGGACGTAGTCGTAACCAGCCGTTTAATATTCATGCTCAAGGATTCTGTATAATTTATGTACATATGTATAATTAATAAGATTGTGGCGTCGCCTCCCATGCTCGCCACCAGAGGGGTCGCGCTCTCACAAGCGCTCGACCGACCCCTCCGTTGCTATATATACACTCCTCGAACGACTTCCCAATATCCCAGTCGTCGAAGGCAGGGCCTGCTAGAAAGCCTTACTGATGAATCCACTGGCAGGCCCGGACGAAACGCGCCCCCTCCTTTCCTTTTCTGTCCTCCTACGAATTCTCACGAGATCCCCTACCCGCAGCGAAGCAGCGCCACAATTGGTGACCCGGACGGTGAATTGGACAACTAGGAAGCAGCTCGAGAATTTTCCAGGAAACCGCAGACCCGCACGCAGCGTAGGACGAAGGAGGCAGCGCCGAACAACCGTGTCTAATCGTACTAGCAAATAGCTCCTTTCGTAATCCCTCTCCTAAGGTGGCCTTCGTTCACTCGATCGCTCGGTCCTGACCAAATCTACCTGACGAGGCCGTCGTCTCCAGGAGGACACAGATTGGCAGGATTCGAAGCAGCAGCAATAGCACGCATAGTGGGGCCACAGGTAGGACAGCAGCATATACGCTCGATGACTTCAGGAGCGCAAGGCACGAGGACGACTCGCCGCGCCAGACGATCAAGAGAACGACCACGCAGCAGCCAGAAATCTCGCAATATCCTACGGCAATAGAATCGAAGTTCTAGCCAGGATCAGAGAAAAAATCTCCAGTGATCGTCAATCGAGATAGAGGCGCTATACGAAGACACGACGACGACGACAAGTCCCAGAGGAACGGAACAACTGTAGATAATGTACATAGTATTCGATAAGTCCTGTAAATAGTAGACTTAATCCGGTATCGTTAGCACTGGCAGGGGGGTAATGTGGCGTCGCCTCCCATGCTCGCCACCAGAGGCGTCGCGCTCTCACAAGCGCTCGACCGACCCCTCCGTTGCTATATATACACTCCTCGAACGACTTCCCAATATCCCAGTCGTCGAAGGCAGGGCCTGCTAGAAAGCCTTACTGATGAGTCCACTGGCAGGCCCGAACGAAACGCGCCCCCTCCTTTCCTTTTCTGTCCTCCTACAAATTCTCACGAGATCCCCTACCCGCAGCGAAGCAGCGCCACAAGATTATCTACATTGATAATTTTGAAAATGATCATACGGGATTTGGTCAAAAATGTTAAACACGAATAATAAGTGGCTTGTTACGATTATATTCAATGTCACTGTATTACGATTAATATTTTTGCTGCTTATAACATTATATTATTTATATTTGGTCTCTCGTTTTGTACAAATATCTGTTTCCAATCTCAAATTAATTTTACATTTATACCAGATAAGGGACTGAAATGCCGTCATCTTCTCATTGATAATATAGTGAATCGATATTGTTTCTAAGATTGAATAATTTACAATTTCTTCACTCAATTCGTTGAAACGATAAATAAATGACAAAATAATGAAAACGCTTCGATTTTAAACTTTAACTTTGAAGGATCAGAACTTCGGAGATCTGGATTAATTGCGTACCTCGTTTCAAATACGACGGGATTACTTATCTTTATGAGAAACTATGAAGGTTCTATGTTGCAGCACAAGGAAGGACCGACTTGAAATTAGACTGGTGACGCCTAGCAATGGGATGGAGCATATCGCGAGTAAGAAAGTCAGATCAAACAATTTTCGTTCTCTATTACTTTATGAATACAAATCGAATCACAGATCTACAATCTGAAATACTATGATATTACGATAACTTGGAAGTTTAATTTATAAGTTATCAATTAACTAAAAATGTTTCTACGATTAAAAAGCGGCAATCGCTAATACTATGACACGTACACAACTGAAGGAATAAGAAAGCGAGTTGGGTTTACTGCGTTAGTAAATTAAAAAAAATCGACTCTTGGTTTTTCAGAATAATTAAATAGGTAAAGTAATAAAAAAAATGTCTTTCTTTGATTTTGTTACACGCTTAATCCTTCGATGAATGATGTGTATAGTTCGGGTCACAATATAGCGAGGTCGTAAACTCGAATAAGTGTCAAAGTTTACACGTTTCAGCTCCCTAAATAAGTGAATTGACAGAAATACGAGCAGTTAAGGGCCTTAGATCATAGTCAGGGCCGTACGAAGAAATGTTTCAATCTAGTGTTGCCATTTTTAGAGGTATCGTAACAGGTAAAGGTCTTATTCAAGTCTTTAATATCTTAATTTACCTGCTTATAATATATGCACGTAGAAAATGAAAAAAGGTAGTGCAATTACGGGCACAAAAAGACATTCAGAAAGGCACCTTCAAGCAATATGTCAGGTACGGCCCTAAGTGCCGCAGCAGTAGTCGGTTCCAACTCTCAAGAATTTAATTTACGACCTTGTTATATTGTGGCCCGAACTATACTTTTCAATATTTCTGTAACATTCAAAATAAATATTCGCGTTTTTTTAAATCCAGCGCATACAATACGTGGCAGTAGATCTGGCACATGTGCACGGCACGTAAAATGCCTGCGGAGTTTGGTTCAAAATTTGTTTCATTGGTTGACGTTACAATCTACTGGGCAGTGAATATAAGGGATTCATGCGGGTTCGCAACCAGAGGGTCTATGTCAAATATTATTCAACAAACTCCCCAATAAAGTGAATTACTGTTACATTATATTGAACCTGTAGCAATACAATAGTAAAAGACTCATGTAAAAATTATTAAGAAAATTTTAAGGCAGCATAAACTGATGGTGGTTAACACGTTCCGTGTCAGACCGTTCTTTGAAGACTTTCCGTTCAGGCCGCGTGGGGCGTATACGTAAAGGGGAAATAGAATATTTCCAAAAGAATTTCTCACAGGTAAAATATTTCCAAAAAGGTACTTATCGTTGCTCGTGTATTTTAAATTTGTAATTAAGAATTAGTGAATTAAAATGAACTGAACTACATACAGTGAGTGTAAAAAGTATTCGTACACTAGTCAATTTGAACAAAACCTTTGCAGAACTTTGTTTATTACAAAAGTATGTTAACAAAAATATACATACATATTCTTAGAAATCTCTGGAACAAATGTCATTAACAACAAATTATTTATTTATATTTATTATGAAAATATTAACAAATTTCCAGAAATTGACCTAAAATATACGCGTAATAAGTATTCGTACAGTCTTTGATTCGTAACATTCCACATAGAACGATTACAAGATAATCCATGATATGTAAACATACTTAGCATCAGTATGTCTGGAGACGCTGTCGGTATAGGTAGTATCCTGAATTCAAACATTATCAACGAAATTATCAGTAAAATGGGACGAAAACGCAAGGAAACCTCTGAAGAAGAAAGGAAAATTGTTATAAATTTACATAATAAGTATAAAACACGGAGTGAAATTTCTAAAGTTTTAAATAGACCGAGGTCCACGATTCAAGGAATCATTGACAGATATGGCGATCGAAAAACTGCAAAAACTAATCCAAGAAACGGACATAAACGAATAATAAGTGAGTATACCGGCCGATGGATAATTCGAAAAATAAAGCAAAATCCAAAGATAAGTGCGGTGAAAATCACAGCTGAACTTAAAAATGATCTGGACATTAATGTATGCAGTAGCACAGTGCGTAATTTTTTACGGGATAGAGGATATCACGGCAGAGTAGCTCGTAAGAAATATTTCGTAAATGAAATTAATAGAAAGAAACGATTGCAATTCGCGAAAGAGTATGTTAATGTTCCTATGAAGCACTGGAACCGTATTATATTTACTGATGAGAGTAAATTTAACATATTTGGGTCAGATGGACGATGTACAGTATGGCGGAAAAAAAATACCGAGTACGAAAAAAGAAATTTGAAGCCGACCGTAAAGCATGGAGGAGGATCAGTCACAGTTTGGGGCTCTATGAGTGCGAGCGGGGTTGGACCCCTCCATTTTATCGATGGTATCATGGATCACTAAATGTACATCGATATTCTAAAAGAGCATCTTCAGGTTAGTGCAAATAAAATGCAGTTACAGGGCAATTATATATTTTTGCAAGATAATGATCCAAAGCATAATGCTTATAATACACGTCAGTGGATCCTATATAATGTGACGCAGCAATTAAAAATCCCTCCACAGTCTCCAGACGTAAATGTGATAGAGCACTTATGGAGTCATCTTGAAGACAAAATTCGAGACCATCACATTTCTTCGAAACAAGATTTAAAAAATGCACTTTTAGAGTCATGGAACAAAATTTCTAGTACTATAACCAAAAATTTAGTAAATTCAATGCCGCAAAGGCTTAAAGCGATTATACAATCTAAAGGAAATCCCTCTAGATACTAAAATAGCAAATAGACTGATTTTTGTTACGTTTATGTACTAAAATTTATAGTTTTTGTTGTAAAATTAGAAGTGTACGAATACTTATTACACGTATATTTAACGCCATTTTCTGGAAATTTGTTAATATTTTCATAATAAATATAAATAAATAATTTGTTGTTAATGACATTTGTTCCAGAGATTTCTAAGAATATGTATGTATGTTTTTGTTAACATACTTTTGTAATAAACAAAGTTCTGCAAAGGTTTTGTTCAAATTGACTAGTGTACGAATACTTTTTACACTCACTGTATATGTATATCTTATTAAAATGATCAACGAAATGAAAACAATGTAAAGTGTAGTGAGAATTGTTTGTTTGTTCCTATTCTGATGTTCATTTGATGCAACATTCGTTTTTTAGTGTGCATTAGTCGATGAACGATGAAGTATTTGCAATTTAATCTTTAGTTAACATTTAATAGAAATATATTCGTTTCAATTTGGTTGTGCATATGGATTGATGCATTTTGTTATCTCATTATTTATCGTATTTATTATACTTGTTATGAAACAATACAAAAAGGAATAGAAATGAGGTTTGCAATGCTTTTGTATATGCCATATATGTCCAAAAATAGGAAAACATAAAAGTGTGTTCGTCAGATCACCCCCTCCCCAGCACTTGGTTTTCAACTTGGGTTAATTGTAAACTATATCTTTTTCTTCAATTTGAATTAACTGTTATTGGAAATAGGTGATGGAATAAAAATAAAACATACAGTTCAAATATTTTTTAAACTAAACTTTGTCTTTATTTGAAGCACTTGGAAGGGCACGTCTATTCAGTTCGAAAGAATCTGCCAGAATGAAGAATGGTCAGTGACAAAAAGTTCGTCACGTATTCACAGACCCCATCGGTCCTATTCACTGTCTAAATAAGCTAAGGAAGGGGCATGGCTGCACCCTCTTGACTTGTGTCTCGAAAAATGAAACGCAACACGCACGTCGATGGTCTTTGTAAATGAAAGAAAAACTTTCTCTTTTTGAAAGAGATAAATCAACAACTGTAAACTATATTTTTTCCAATTGTTGCACATAAATTATAATTTCCGAGATTAATGAAAGAGGATAAAATGATTTCAGTTTTTGTTTTACCAAGCAAATAAATTTTCAAAATTGATGTTTCATATCGTGATGTTATTTCCGTGTTGAAATTAATTTATTTGTCGGAATCCATTAAAAAAGTTTTCTGTTTTCAAATTGAATGTTACTTCATGTTGTGTTAATAAAGTTATATTGGTTCTAATCGATATTTAAATTCAATTGATGCGAAAAATGTCATCAGAAACGCAAACGTGAAGGTAATTTGTACGTTTGAAGGTAATCGAGTTGGTTGTCTGGTTACCGGAACGTTAAAAAAAAAGTATTCGAAAAAGAAAAGAATAGAATTAAAATGGCTTCCGGAGTGAAAGGACGTGCGGGAAAATTAAAAACAGAATTCCTGCAAAGGACTCATCGGTTAATGTTGTACATTCTTTCGTGTTGTTAAAGTGTTTGTGTGATAGTTAACAATTATTACTTTATTTAGTTCAAAGATTTAAGGAAAAAAAGAAATGCATAGAATAACGAGACAGAGGCTTGGTCGCCCGAGAGAACCTAATACAAGTCGCCCTAGAGAAATTACCAATGAAACGGTTTCTCCGACTTATTCAATTTTATTCAAGTATGCTGTTCTTTTGTCCAAAATAAGCAAAATGAAGTTTAGTTTTATTTCGCTCGTTGCCTGAAGTACAGAGAGGCTTTTTCCGATGCAATGTAAATGTGCTGATCCCTCGGTCCGTCGAATGAATAAATAATCGATCGTCTCCGTGGAAACAGCTCGATTTTAATACTTCCGCGCTCGCCGGACGAAGTTAAGTGCCGCATGCATTTTTAAATGAAAATTCGCAAAATCTTACCTTTATGCAGGTGAGATTGTTCTGCTCCACGAGTGCATGAAACAAACATTATTTGATTATTTTTAGAAGTCGACTTTTACTGTTACACAGTAACTACTGCTAATATTTTGAAAAATATGTGTAATATATAGGGTGTTCGGCCACCCCTGCAAAACATTTTACTGGGGGATTCTAGAGGCCAAAATAAGACGAAAATCAAGAATACTAATTTGTTGATGGAGGTTTCGTTAAAAAGTTATTAACGTTTAAAGTTCCGCCAGTACTGAATTTTTTTCTCGAAAATGCGCAGGATATCGGGGGTAGGTCTATTCACCAAAAATTATTGTAATTGACCACCGCAACCAAAAATAGTTTTTTCAGAACGATTTGAAATTTTTTAATTTTATCGAAAAATGTCAACCTCGAATTTTTTTTCTCGAAAGTGGGTAGGATTTCGAGGCTATGTCTAATGACTAAAATTGATTATAATTGACCCCCGCAACCGAAAATAATTTTTTCAGATCGATTTGAAATTTTTTTTCGCCGAAAAATTTAGGCACCTTGCTACCATTTTCAATAAAATTTCGTTTCTCATTTTTAATAAATTTGTTTGACGCTCTACAGAAAAGTTGTCTAATCCTTTTTTGTAGGTGCCCAGGGGCTCTGGTTGCGAAAAAAATTTCAATCGGATACCTTTACTATTGTAGGAGTTATGGCCGTTTGAAAATTGGACCAGTTTTAGGGGGTTTTCCTCATTTTACAGTGTCAAGGAACAACTTTTTCAATATTGTTAGAATTCCCACATATTCTGCACTAAAATACACGGTGTTTCATTTTGAAAAATTAAAATCCTCCAATCCGTTCAGGAGTTATAACATTTTAAAGATTCGCATGAAATTTCAGGGAAGCATTTCGGCCTCACATTAGATTTTCGGTAAAGAATTTTTTTCTCGAAAGTGCGTAGGATTTCGAGGTGTGTCTATTCGCCAAAAATGCTTGTCATTGACACCTGCAACTAAATATAATTTTGATAATATGATTTTAAATTTTTTAATTCCGTCGAAAAATTTCAGTACCTACTCGAACACCAAAAAATGATTGTCATTGAGCCCCGCAACCAAAAATAATTTTTTCAGAATGATTTGAAATTTTTTATTTAATTATTTAATAGCTCTTTAATGAAGCCTCAGTCAAGGAATTGATATTCTTAATTTTCGTCTTATTTTGGCCTCTAGAATCTCACATTAAAATTTTTTCCAGGGGTCACCGAACACCCTGTATATCTATCTGAATATTTTAGTGGAAATATATTTTTCAGTTTACACAGATTAACCGATGGACAGTTTATTCTCGCTTTTTTAAATATTTCAGAAGCGTGCATCACAGACCAGCTCGGAAACTTTAATTATTCACAAGTCATAAAGGATGTTTCTGATAACTAAATTAATGGAAACGGACCTTTCAATTTCACTAAAGCATCACTCTTGCTCTGTAAAAACAATTCAAATCACGCAGTTTCTCTGATTTCTTATCTATACAAATTTTGCTTCTTGGTAATAATGATGGAGATGTGGGAGTTAAAATTGGTTCTTGATGTTAGTTAATTATAGGGACACTAAGCGAATAAAACAAAGTGTCCAACTCAGAGTCTCTGAACAGTTTAAAATGACTTTGTCGAGGAAGCAGAGGGCTTTCTGCGTGCCCCTGAAATAATTGACTATCTATGAGTTCAAAAATTTCCATCAAAATATCCAGTGACCCATCTGAAATCATTAAAACTGCTTCCCTCAATAATAAATAGAGAATTTGTGGCAAAATGTACAAGTACTTTCCACAAAGTAGACTACGGAAAACAGAACGTATACACTAGTTCCTTTTTAATGCAAAAGCATTGTATTTTGCTACAAAGAAAGAGATTTTCTCTTCATAGGGTTGCCATAGTTCCTGTAACGATTCGTTCCTCTATTGTGCGCACAGTTATAAACAGCGACCAGATTGTTTTCACTATAGAAACATTCACATAGCGCGATATGGCAATCATTTGGCGCATAAAGCTGCAATTACATGTACTCTATACTTAATGTTGTCGATAACAATAAACGCGCATCTGTGTGCAATTATATGAATACAATAACTATTTGCCATGTGCACACGATTAATTAACACGATTTCGTGGAGTTCGTTCTAATGCAGTTGACAGACCAATGAACACGATAATTACATGCTTCAGGAATAGTATCTGTTGCCACCACGTAAAGGGTTTCCGCTGCAGTCGACATTGAACAGTGCCGTTTTTGAGGAAGTCGCAAATTTTCACGGACTGCATGTACTTCCTAAAGGACTAGGTCTGGTCGAATGCCGGTTTCAGTTTTCTGTGGAAACGGTCCCTGGTTAGACCACCCTCGACAGCAATTAACGTAACACAAACCCTCACGTGTTGACCACCAGGACAGTCATCAGAACCATAGAACAATACCGGGTCAGGTTTATGATAGAGACGAGTGAACGCTGCTATTTTTAAGAACCTTTCTATAATGATGTTTCAGTAATCGACGAGGCAAATTGAGGATTAAGGACTTAGTAAACTCTTGGTTATTATACCGTAATAAACACGTGCGTTTCTGGCATCCTTACCTTCAACTCAATAGCAGTTTCTTTTTTTTTTTACAAAATTAAATACATGAGATAGTGAACTTAGTAGCTACTTATACAATACGTAGAACGAAATTACAATTGAAGATCATGTTTCTTAAGGAATTTAAATATAACCATTATAGGAGGTATAAGTGGTTGAAAAAGGAAAGCATCAATCGTGTACGGAGGGAAATAGCCTTTAGAGCACAGCTGGTTAATCATGTCCGGTCTGCCGGAATCATATAAAGGACATTGCCATATGATATGATTAAGATCCTGCTCTGGATAATTACATTGGCACCTTGTGTCTGGTGCAAGATTGATTCGGACAAGTGAGACAGCTAGTTGATAGTGGTTAGAACGTAATCTGTTGGTAAAACAAATAAAGTCCCTAGGAAGGGCTTTTCGAGTGATCCAAGGAGTTGTAGAATCGCTATAAAAGCGTGCAAAATATTTGGTGCCCTTGTGAGAGGCCTGAGCATGAAGCTGTCTCACAGTCTCATTCTTAGCCTCTCTTTTGAATACTTGAAAGAAGTCAGTGAAGGGAACCTGGAAATCAAGTGACGGTTCGAGGCGAGAAGCTTCTTTTGCTAAAGTGTCGACATACTCATTATAAAGGATACCAGAATGAGAAGGGATCCAATAGAAGTGGGTTTTTATATTACGTAGAGCCAGGTCATGAATAATATTTTTGATATCCAACAAGATATTGTTAAAATTAACATTTATGGTGAACTTAGAGAGGGAGAAAAGAGCACTCAGACAATCAGAATAAATGAAAACATTATCAAATGAATGCTTAGAGGCATATACTAAGGCATTTTTGATAATAAGACATTCTGCAGTAAAACTGGAAGCCCATTTATTCAGCGCAAGCAAGGATGATCTCAATAGCAGTTGACGCATCGTAAACCTGGCAAAACCAAAATAGTAATTAAACGCGTGGAACCCTTGGGTCTGAGTCCACTACGAACTCCTCATTTGGTTTTAAGTTCTTAATTATTCTTTAGAGACTTCTCATTTAGCTGCAATTATTACCACACGAATTCAAACCAGCTTTTCTACAAAATAGCGATGTCTTTAAGCGACTGTATAATAAACCTGATTGTCAGATTCCTAACACATATTCGAGTATCTAATTCAGAAATGTCTAATTTTAGTAATTAGTACATTCCTTTACATCACGATGATTCGAGTTAAATGTTGAACACCACGAATTCCTTTGCAACTATGACACAAATAGGATCCAAAACGTACGGTCCTTGTCGTGGGAGAAATTCGCAGGACTCGCCTAAAACAAATTCAATTTCACGAAATACAAAGTGCTCGATACCAACGACAAGTTGCACAGGCCCCATCAAATTCTCGATGAAAGTTTGAATCACCCTCATGAAAGGGACGGCGGAATTAACTTGTCCAAGTTTCGTTCGACTTCTCGAACCAGCATCGAAAACAACGATAAACTTCGCGCGGTTATTATTGAATTCCATCCGGGGAAATATTCCGCGCGTAACCGCGCGACGCTCGAAAGCTTAATTTTCGTTTCGCCTCTATTGAAATTCACTTCGTCCCAGCAATCTATTCTCTGATATAGTAGTCCAGTTGAATTAGGCCTTTTACCGGGAAAATTGTCCAACTTTAATTGCATAATATTGTCGAAAAGTCTTAAAACATGATACAGTGTGTTAGGAAATGATAAGTTCACCCATATTTATTATCGTAACTTATAGAGAAATGTATCAACTGCTCTCAAACTTTCAAGATATAAGGTCCTTGTATTAACAAATCTGATTGCTAAATTTCGTTTTGGACTAATATTTCAAAATAATGTAACATAAGAATATCAAAATTTTAACATATTTCAACCGTTAATAAATGATAGGTTCACGTTAAAAAACATATTTATACATAGTCATTAAATAATTCTTAACAAAGTAAAAATTAAAATTAATATTTAATAGGTTTTCCACCACTTTTAATTAATAAATTGATTCGCTTCGGCATAGATTCGATAAGATCTGTGAGTTGCCGAGTAGTAATGCGATCCCAAGCGTTCATAATTGCCGTTTTGAGCTCTTTTACACTATTGAATTGGCGACAATCATCGTAAACATCGCGTACTAATTGTCCCCATAAATTCTCAATCGGGTTAAGATCAGGAGACCTTGATGGCCGTGTTAATGTGTCTATATTTTTAGTTTTTAAGCATTGTTTAGTGCTTGATGAAGCGTGCACTGTTGCGTTATCATGCATAAATGTTAATTTTGCAGACGAAAAACGGCGAATATAGGGCAAAAGGTGTTCTTCTAAAACAGCTTGATATTTTTTTGAATCAAGTCGTGCATCAAGGAAGGCTAATGTCGTCCTGCCAAATCCAGAGAACGCCGCCCAAATCATCACAGAACCTC